GAGGGAGCGGAAGACATTAGAGACCGCGGTGCCGAAAAATGAGGGAAAAAATTAATATAAATTCGCCCCCCGCTTCAAACCGGCCGAATTTCGCACAGAAATTTCCCCCGTGGACCCGGCTACCCGTGGGGTGTCCCCCGGACCTGGCGGCTGCGTCTTTGGGGGGATCCGGAGTGACTTTGGGGCGCTCGACCCCCCTTTCCCGTCGTTTTTTGGACAAAAGTTTTTTTTTTCGTAATAAAGAAACGAATTTGCCTGCTCTCCCCCTCCGAGTGGCCCAGAAGCTTTTCCCTTCCCCATCGGTGTGTGTTTAGAGAAAAGTGTGAACCCAAGTAAGTGCTGAGTCGCGTTGCATTGGGGAGGGGGGTTTGCTAACTGAAAGCAGGAGAGATCCGGAGAGAGAGAGAGAGAGAGCAGGGACAGCTTGTTGTCAGTATCATAAACAACCAAAATGGAGGGAGAACTGAGGCATATAACAAAATAAAAATCAGAAAAAAATGCCAAAAAATACCTAAAAATCGGGGCTGCTCCCCCTTTTCTTCCTCAAGGTAACAGAATAAAACCCGTGTCTTCCTGAGACCGTTTTAAGGTTTCAGGGAGCAAGGAGTTAATATTTATTATTTTTTTTTGTTGATGAATTCTTTGGAAAGGCAAAAGCCTCTTATAACTCGCCACCGACAATGAGAAAACGTGAAAATCCCTTTCAGGAGAGAGAGGTAGGGGGAGATGATAGTGCAGAAAGTGCATAACTTGGGGGTAATGTGGAGTGATCCTAGATAAGATAAATGCTGTATGTGCTGCTTTATAACTTCCTTTTTTTCATGCTTTTTTGTATGTTTGGGGGGGAGGGGGCTTGGAGATGGGGGCTCCTTTCTTTTCCTCTGTCTTTTTTTCCTTTCTTCTTTTTTTTTTTTTTTTTTTTTTTTTTTTGGACCGGAATGTAATGCCTTTGTAGTGTCACTTTCCTGATCTAATTAGGATGTGTGAGGCAAAGAGTAAACCTTTCCGGTTTATAAAGTGCATTTTCGTTGCCTTTGAATTTCAAGTTTTCCTGGTGGCTCCCTCCTCTATTTAAACTGGATTCTTCAGGGTAGCGTGGGGTTGAGGTAATGCTCCATAGGGAAAGCAGAGAGGGCTCAGGGGCAGGGCACCTATTCTGCGGGTGGTTGCTGATTTCCCTGGCACGTTCAGTTCACCTGCTTGCCTCCTACAAAGAATGTATTCTGCAGCCTCCTCGTTTTATTTATATAAAATAATGATGCCTCATCTCGCCTCACGTTGAAGTTAATGCGAAAGTGCTGCTGATGTTGGTTCCACGTGGGATCAGGGACATAGCAGGGCATTTTAAAGAGACAGCTTCTCTTTTCCTAGGGTTATCATCACCTCTGCAGCACCTCTGCCTCTAGCAGAGGGATGGTTCGTTGGTTTGTTTTTTTTTAATGGAAAGGCATCAAATCGGCCCTGGTCTGATAAATTAAGGCAGAATAATAGGGGGAAATGTGCAGATTCGTTTGGATCAAAGCAATTCCTTTGTGTGTAGCAGGTCTTCAGGGGAGTTTTCTTGGTGTGTTGATTAAAATGCTGTGTTTTGGAGAGCGTTTTTTGGAATGGGTGTTGCTGAAATGAAATAGTCTCAGGTTGTTTAATACTAAAATCTAGTGCTGTTCTGCTAGCTGTGAATTCCCTGGGAGGAGACCTCTGTGCATAGGGCAATTTCACAGACATTTTGTAAAAGTTGTGAAGTGCATTATTTTTACTTTGAATAAATTAGTTTTCTTGGGGACACCCGAGTTTGTTGGAAAGTACTGTAGAGCTTGTTCTATACTTAAATCTTCTGAACAGTCCCAAAAGGTTTTGAAAGTAGTGAAAATAACTGTAGGTTTTAATTGGCCAAACTAGGGGCTTTTTACAAGTACACCTTAGCTGTGTAATTATAACATCACTTGGAAGAATTGCCTCTGGCTTTGTTTAAAAAAAGAAAAATCATCCTAACTGCGGTCTAGTTTCATGTATGTGTGTGCATGTGTGTGTGCATGCATGCTTTTAGCATGGGTTCTGGCTGATACAGTTTTTTGCTGAATTTTTAACTTGTAAATGTTTAACTGTAATGATGTGAAATGCTCCGTTTGTCCCTATTATCTCCTGTGTATTTTAATTTTCAATGAAATATCCTATTTAAAAAAAAAACATTGCCTTTTAATATGGCAATTTGATATCTTTATGAGGAGTTATGATGTTTCCTTTACATGTGCCTTGTTTTTCTAGTCTTTGTATTTGCTTCTAGATTAAAAATTGAATACGGGTATGTGGTTCTCGAGAGGGAAGATGGAGTACTGAACTTGTAGGGAGGCTGTTTCAGCAAATGTTTTATTTGAGCTTGTGGAAGTTGAGTATCAGTTGTGGTAGCCCTCTGTGTTGAATGGCATGTGTTCTTAAAGGATCTCTACCTTTTCTGCAAGTGTGACCAAAGAAGCTGTTGTACAGTAGTTGTTGACTAGGATAGACTTGTGGTTAGAGATTTTTGAAGAAATCTCAAAGTTTTCCGGTGACTCACAGTTGTGAAAATTAAATCACATTAACTACTCTTAGGCTAGAAAAAAAGGCTCATTAAGGAAGAAAGATTAATCAGTTTCTATACAGGAACGAAATTGAACATTTTTCCAAAACTGTCTTTTATGCTTTAGAGATCCCTTTTGTAGTTAGCAAGAATTCATACTTCAGAGTTTCTTTCTAAATGTTTCTTACACCGATCTCTTCTTTTTATTATCCTGAAATGCATAAAAATTTGATAAATTAATAGCAGTACACCACATATTGGTGTTTTTAATGTACGAGGGTAGATAGGTAGTAGTAGATGTACAGAACTAGCTTTAATAAACTAGTTAATGGTACTGAGAACAGTATTTAAGAACTCTGCAAATACTGTGCCTGTGACCATCAGTATGAAGTGTTTAATGTGTTACTACATTTTTATGTAATTAAGAGCTTCTAAATCATTCATATTGTAATCCTGAAAATAGACGCTGGTAGTAACAACATGAAAGAAGCACATGGTGTGGAGTATCTTTCTGGACTTGCAGTAATGTGTTACAAAGTAAATTCAGTGTATCCAACCATAGTACAAAATTCAGGACATGGGGAGGAGGAAGAGGAAAGGGTGTTCTCACAGAATTTGATACTCTTCTAAACTGGGTTTAATTTCAAGGTATAATCCAGATGGTGATAATAATAGCAGAAGATAAATGCTGTTTAGGATTGGTTTTTACAAACTTACTCTCTTTGTGTAGAAAACTGAATTCTTCTTACAGGGATGATGTGGTGTTTAATAAAAATAGAAGTAACTTTCAAAGCTTCCTTACTTCTAAGAGTTAAGATAATCTTCTCTATTATATGTTGCTCTGGTACTATACATGATTCAGTATGATTTTTTCAAGATTTTCTAAAATTGAAACACCTGAGGAAACAAATACTATGGGCTGTTGTTGGTAAAGTTACCCTACTTTTTGTAGGTAAACTGGGGAGCTGTAAATGTATTAAAATCCTTCTTAGACAGTTATCAATCCTGTTCAATATTGTTTAAAAGTTAATAACTACCATATTCTACAACAGTACAGCAAATACAGGAATCTAAATTGACATGCATTCAACTTCTCTTGAACGCTTAGTTCAAGTGTGTCTCTTGGCGTGTACTTTTTCATTTAGTAATTATCCTGAAAAATAAGTTTCCCAATGTAGAACTTTGAGGTTTAAATTAAGAAACTTTTAAAAAGTTTGTGTAATTCCAAAAGGCACCGCATACAAAGCACAGCCACTTCTAATGGTCGTCCTTCTCTGCAGCTAGTCAGCCAAAATGGTGCCCTTAAGTCTCCTCCTTTCAGGGTAGCGCATGTGTTTTAAAATTAATGGGTTAAAGAGGGCACTGCTCATGTTCTAAATAAACCACTGTTTGTAACTGTTCAAGGTTATTTTGTTAAAAGAGATGGTTTATTTCATAGGCTAAACCATAAGTTTTTAAAATTTTGCATCTATATCTTCTTATATCTTTAAAACCAGTTTTTGTCAGCAAATACCTTTTGGGAGGGTTCTTGAACAAGTTTATCTGTTTACCAAGGGGAGATATTCTGGAGAATGTGAAATATGTTAGAGCAATTAGACCATTCTCAAATCAGTGGAGAGTTAAAGGGTGCTTGCAGCCACCACCACTAAAGTGATAGAGCACTTGCTCTCAAGGAGATATTCTGCAAATACAAGCTACTACTGAGGATTTAGCTTGCATTACTTTTGAAAGAAATGTGCAGTATCTGTCCACTGAACTGTTAAGCATCTTTAACCAATTACCAAGTGTTTAGGTAGCCTTAAAAAACTATTTTAAAATAACTCAAATATTAGAACAAAGTAACATTTTGTATTGATCAAATGTAAAATGTTTAGACTTCTGAAGGGTAGGGGATTTTTTTTGCATTTATCTGAGCTTTTGGATAATAAAGAGTTGTGTATTTTTCCTGCTAATCAAAAAATCGCATCTAGAATTTACTTAAATTTATTTTGATTTTTAAATTGTGCAAAACTGTAACTTGAATATAAAACATTGATTAACTCTCAATATAATCACTTATACAGCTGCCTATATTTTATTTTTAATTTTTCAAGGAATATAGTGACCCTTTGTCTGAAATTGAATAGGTTGCAGTTACTAATGCATCTTAAATGAACAGTTGTCCACCAAACATCAAATGTGAAAAATTCTAATTGTATGTAAGTTATGAAAAGCTAATATTGAACAGAACTGGTCACCATTACTGCAAGTTCAGCTTTACTTTTGTTTAGATTGCCTTGTTAGAATATTTTTTTGTTTACTTCAGTATCAGCTTTCACCTGTTATTGTCTCATCTTAGAAGGATGAATTAGCAGAAATGAATAGAATCAGAGGGTTTTTTTTAATTTTTAACAAGATATAGTTATGTGCTAACAGTTATAAAGGATGGGCCTTCTCATAGGATATATTAAAATTGTTAATATTTAAATGGACCCTGCATGTCTTGTAAACAGTTGCTGTAAGATCATGGCATTAAAATTAACCACTGTACTAAGCGCGGTTTTGAGGTGACTGCATAAGTACATACTTAACAGTGAAGAGTAGGAAAGTTTATATAGTTGCTCTCATGTTGAAGGAATAAATTGGTTTCTATTATAGCTTTCTTAGTAATAACGTCTGTCCCTCTCCTAATTCACTGTCTGTCCAGAGTGCAGAGATACCTCGTCAAATACGTTAAAATATATGGTCAGAGTGATGGGCTATTTTACACGTGTCCAACCCTGGCAATTTTGACAGACTTACAAGGGGGCAGAAGGAAAGTAGAATGTGGCCTGATGTGCATAATTTAATTTTATTTATTTAAAGAAAAGGACAGAGAAAAGAGGTCTGAACTAGTATAAAACCAAAAACTGAGAAAGATAAAATAAATGAATGTAGACAACTGTGGCTATAACACACAGAACAGTAACTCAAAACTCCAAAGTAAAATAGCTCAAATCAGCTTTGAGAAGTCAAGTGGGAATCAGGAAAGTAAAACCTAGAATTGCCATCAAATGCAATTAAGAAATAACTATGTAAAGGAACTTGGAAAAATGCAAAAAGTGTCTGTTCCAGTACACTGAATTGCTATAATCTTCTTTTGCACTTAATGTGCTAAATTCCTCTCTCAAAGGAGAATATCCCTAGAAATCAGATTAGAAAGTGTTTAAAGGGAATTATTTGTCAAAGTTGTGTTTTTACTAAAATTAGGATAACTAATAATCTCTTCCGTATTCTTGTGAATAATACTTTATTTGATATCACTTAAACATGCAGATTGCACATAGACTTACTTATGTATTGTACAGGTAATTTACCTGGTAGCCTGACACTGCGTATCACTAACTTTCACCCTAAAAGCTTTTCTTTATGGTTGTGGGTCACATTACACTTTGGAGACTGCCAAATCTGAAGTATTTCTCATTAAATAAGATGTAGACTGTGAATTGCCAAGTAATCAAAAATCAAGGACAATGTCAGAAAGCTTATCTTCCCTCTTCATTTATTGAGTATGTATTTGTATACTACAGGGCATCAGATTTACTAGAGCATGAGTTCCCTAAAAAGCCCTGCAAATCATCTGATTCTAAAATAATGAGATCTCATTGCACTAAATGTTTGAACAGCAGAAAGTCCCTGTGTATGCAAATCAGATTTTACTGTCCCAAGTGCTTGTCACTTCTAATAAAACTGTTTATTGTGTGGTATATGTATTTGTCATGAATGTTACATTTATATGTAATATAGGTATACACACATGCACACATTTTAAGGAAACATATGGCTGGTCAGGGAGAATGTCATGTCTTTTGAATCAGTTGTGATATAGGAATTTTTTTTTTTAAGAGAGACCTTTTTGAAGAAAAGGCAGAAGGAGAGATTCTGGCAGCTTACTATTAAATTTTAATCAAGCCTGTATAGTTAGTAATAAAAGATTTACAAGTTTGTAAATGTAAAGTTTCTTCAAACTCTTACTGTCACGTGTGGAATTTTCATTTATACTAATTGTGCATTTACTACAGCTGCCTATATGCAAGGCTTAATAAGACTGTATTTAATATGTGGAAGTATAGATACGATATAAATATGTAAAAATACAAGTTGCCTACAGCTGCTCTTATGTTTTCATCAGATGATACACTACAAAGGCATAAATTTATGGTGTTAGCTACCTGTTATCAGTTTCTGGTGCTCTTCCACTCACAAGTACTTTAGGAAGAGTGAGTATTAAACTAAAATAAGACAAATGTAAAATCCTGTTAGGATTTAGTGCTCTGTTTAAAAGCTAAACGTAGACATTGTTCAAGCTTATTTTGTTCACTGGAAGTTATCGTGGTCAATACGCACATAATTTGTTTCATCTAGGACACTAGGAAACTGTGAACCACGTAGCTTAGAGAAGAGCTTAGACATAGCTGATCAGAATAAATGCCAGTTCATTTGAATCTGTAGGGGTTTTTTCCTCTGTGACTTGACAGTTTTCTTTAATTCTTTCGAATGGAATTGTGTTTAGACTAAACCACTTCTAATTATACCCCAGCACAAACATATAGCTTATGGCTATATTTTAATCAGTTTCAGAAAAAGTAATAAAAATATTATTGCATCTGTCAAAGGATGGTGTTGCTACATGCTATTTTAAATGGTGTTTAAGTAGAGTTATAAGCATACCAGTACAATGAAATCAGCTCTATTCCTAAACAACCAAGTTACATTATTTGTTACTTAAAAAGTTACCAAGAATCATAATATGTTAATTATCCTAATTATTCAGGCTGTTTTTAATATGTGTTGAAATGGCTTTAAAAAGTATATATGAAATATTTATATCAAACTCGTTTAATTTCTCATTACTTGTAAAATGTAATGTTTTCCCAGTTGTAATTTTAAAGGCTTTTTGTCTTAGCTGCACAAGTGTATCCTTTTCTTTTGGATACACTCTTTTCTGAACCCAGCAGTTCTTTCACTTATTTAAAACTCTTTGTTCCCTTAGAATAAATTTGTGTCCCGTTAAGTGTTGACATTGATAATTTTTGTTCTCAGAAATTGTGCTGAGGAGAACTGTGGAATTAACTTGTGCTGATGATGCTACAAATATAAAAATTGGGTGTAGAGTAAAACAGGATACTTAATCATAGTGGTATTTGGATGATGGGAATAGTCCCAAACTGGATGAATGTTAAACTAGCCTATGAGGAAAAGATGTCAGGTTTTGCAGCCTTGCAGCATTAATCAAAAATGTGGTATCACTATTTCTCACAAGAAATACTCAGAGTTGTACCATCAATTGCTGTAGAAGGCAAACAGAAATATAGATTACACTTTCTGAAATTACAAACTATGAAATAAGCTTCTTGGGGAAAAAATGGGTTTAGAGGTCTCCCTTGTAGTATAATACTATTTTACTTTTGAAAACTTGACCACTTCAGAGTATTTGAGAACAAGTAAGTTAAGTCCATCTTGAGTAATACATTTTGGTTTTTAGTACAGTTTTTATCTATGCATCATGTCAAACAAACTTTTTACTCTTCATGATCCTTAAATATTTATACTGAAAGGAAAGTGCATTTAAGCAGTCTTTAATTGCATTGATTACTCGATCATTTGATTGGAGTAGAAAGGTGCTTTAGTTTAGGGAGGTTGAATATGTATTATTATTTTCTATTTTTCTGTAGTTTGCCTAATAAAAATACTCAACATAAAAGGAGACCGAATCCTTTTTCAAGCCTTGAGTGAAAAGGGAGGTGTGGTCAGGAAGGGTCTCTGATGGCTTAAATCACTGCCCCTCAGTCTTTCAAAATATTTAAATCCTATGAATTTGTGATTTCAGTCACACAGTAATGTTGCAACCTCAAAACTGATAATATATTCAGTTATCTTGAGATGAACTCCACAATTCTTCATTAGGCAGATTGAATTCCCTAAAGGTTTTGTCTGAATAAGTACTTGAGTATTGGGCTGTTTGTTCCAGTTTTCATCAGGAATGAAGCCATAGAAAGCCTCTCAACTCTGAGCAAACCCTCAAAAACTTCATGGATGCCCTAAACTTCCCCTGTTTCTGTCATAGTCTTAGCTGTTGAATTGTGGTTGAAAGTCAAATAATCCTTTCTGCTAAGCATCTGACTTTCATCATAAAGAAGGTAGTTTGATATTTGGTGGTAGTTTTAGCACAAAGGTTTTATGTAGGTAGTGAAACCAAAAAGCTTAAAGGCCGGCAGAAATTTGCTGTCAAGTTGCAAGTGCTCTGTAACTGTTAGGTGAAGTAGTACTTAAATTGCATTTGTTTCATTGAGGTAGTAAGACTCGTAGTTTGAAGAAGATAGAGCTTAACTGATTTGTTAATTCTTCCTTCCCAAATATATGTAAAAATTTGCCACCATTTTTGCTGCTGACGGTGCTCTGAAGATTATCCATACATAAATATATATATTTCCAAACTTCTTGTAACTTAGGCCTTTGTGGGAAGGTTAAGAGGTCTAGTGGATGGAAATAATAATGTATTTGTATCCCTCTTACAAACGAACTGTTAACTTAGCAACTTTGTAAATTCACAATGTGATTTTTGTGTTTGGGGGTACATCTGAGACTGTAGATAGTTAAAAATACATAAACACCCACCCCACCACGCCACCCCACCCCCGCATGGCAGATCTCAGGCCTTAAGAGCAAATATTCTATCTTTTTGCTTTGGGTATTTATGGACTGGTTATGTGGAGATAAAAGTTGTTTGTTTTTTTTTCCCCCTCCACCTGTTGCATTCATCAGTTGTTTCAGAAGTCTGTTTCTTGATATTTTGTGAGTATGTTGCAGTGGCTGGCGAGGTTATTAAATGGCCTGAATTACAGAATTTGTAGATGGAGGAGGGAGACCTTTTTTTTTTTTTCCCCCCTGTCTAATCTTGACCAGATTATTTGAAAATTTCCTTGGCCTCTTCAACAGTGCTTTGCTATAAATCAAAACAAATTAAATTGAACAAACAGTCAATAAAAATGCATGTCCTAGGTTCTTCTGGCAAAGCTTATTAAAACCCAGTTGGATGCTCACAATGCTTCTTCACTGTGACCTCAAAGATATTCAGCCTCTGCTTTGTGCTTTCCAAATATCATCATTTCCATCTATCAAAGTCTAGGTAGGTCATTAGTAAATGTACAGTAGTAACTGTATAGTCTGTACTGCTAACATTTTAAGCCTGTCTCAGAATAAGAGATCTGTGTTAAAGTTGAAATGCTTCTCAGGCAGTGAGTGGTATTTCCCCATCTTTTTTTTTTTTTTATTATTGTAACATCCATTTGAGATTGTTTCAGATGTCACTCATGAAAAGGAGTGATCTTTCAGGTCGTCAAGAATCAAGCTGTTTCAGGGGTTTATAGGTTAAAACCAGTAACTTTTTTAGCATCATTCGGAAACTGGTGGTCATTGAGGGTACATCGTGGAACAGTAGAGTCATGTGCTTCTCAGCAGGGGATGCTGCTTAATGATGGAACTGCAATGTCCTGAATGTGGAAGGAGCAGACCTGCAGTGAAGGATCGGTCCGTTTCTACAGTGTGAACAGGGAACTGCTTTACTCTGGCTTTTACAGATAAATTGATTATTTGGAATAAGATCCTTCCTTCACTCACTGACATTTTCATTTTTTCCTGCAGTATCAGAAATGGACACTTCAGGATGATTTTTACAAGTCTGTCAACTTGAAAGGGCAATTGATGTAACCTCATATGAAGTTAGAGTGTTTGAAAAGGACAAAAATCCTTTTACTAAAGATCTTGGAAAAAATATTTAACTGTCTGAAAGCAAAGAAAAATAACTACGATACTACTCTGATGATATTTTTCAAGCAAGTAAATAACACTTAGATGTCATGGGAGATTCATTTAGCTATAGCCTGGATCCCTCAGTAAGGGAATGTGTTTTGTAGTAATATATTTATGAAAATAATACATAATGTAAATTTAGAAGAATGTAGTTTTCAGTAACAAAACCATCAGAACTTGATCAAAGCAAACCCAAAATTAGCTTGTGTCCACATACATCCGTAACTCTTTTATTGAGGTAAAATGTTGGGTACCTAGACATGCATAGCTATTCAGAACTCTGCCATGATTATTTCTAGGAGCTGTACAAACACAAAACTCTTCTATTGTATTCAGTTAGTGCATGATAAAGTGCTTTCTAAGGTTAGTGAGTTTGTTGGTTTTGTGGGTTTGAATTCAGAATTAAAAGTGATACATAGAAAAGTGATATGTTAGTGGCTTAGTAGCACACAGTATTTTAGTCCAGTGTTGGAAATGTATATTATAAAACCTAAATATAAACGTTATATGGCTTTGGAGTTCACCTTCTAGTAACATTGATTGTACCTAGGAAAACAAGTGTTTTGTTTTGTCAGAATTACTATTTCCCTCTGGTGTATTTGCCTTTAATTAAATTGTGCTCCGTGATTTTTTTTCTTGTTATTTGCGCAGTATTGTGCTCATGCTTTTTCCTCCAAGCAAATACAAATAGCATTGTACTCCTGCTGTGATTATTATGCATAACATCTCTGACACAGCACATCAAAAGTTATGTTTATTGGAAAACAGAATTAACATTTTATACTTTTTTTTAAGACCACTTAAAAATAGCTGTGTTAAAAGAGATTATGTTTTTAACATGCTAATCCACTAAGCCATCATACATCATTCTGTAGGCAATGTTTTTATTCCAGGCAGCTACCTCTTACTAGAGTCCATGTGAAAGGTTTCAGGTTATCACAGAAATATACCCATAAACTTGAACTCTTAAGGAGAGAGCCTTCTTTAATAGAAAGCATAATACATGCATTATCAAATTGCAGCCTTTTTTCCAAGAATTGTTTTATATGTCAGCATGGTTTGGCCTGCTTTAAGGCATTCTGGTTATTCGGACAAATTGTTGATTTAAAATGGCATATGCAAAAACCTTTTCTTGGGGCGGGGGGGGTGTACAGCAATTCCTAATTTTGATGTGGAATATTATATTGTGATAGCCAAATACCTGAATAGGGTAATGTACTGATTATGGAGAAGATAGAGTAAAGGAGGATGAGAATTTATGCCAGCTGGATTGGGGACTCTGAGATTCATCTGGATTAGTAGTTTCAGTTGCCAGTCTTGCCCCATGTTCCTCTGTCACCTTGTTTTCTGAAGTTGTATTGTCCTCATTCAGTTATTGTAACTGTATACTGTTGCTGTGTAAAGAGTCACACAAACATGGGAAACAGCAATACTGACTTGGCAGAAAATTCTGTAAAGTGTGAAAAATACAACAGAAAAATACAGTTCTGCTTTATCTTTTGACTTCAGAAATCTTAGATGTTACTTGTAAGAACAGTAGATATATGTGTGTGTATGTTAGCTGAAATTTGACTGTAGGTTGACTGCCACTGTGCACATCAGTGACTAGAATTTTTAGGTATTAAATACCAGTACAAGGAATTTGCTTGTACTTAGCTGAATTACAGTGCAAAGTTTGCTGAAACAGGTTAGAAATAACCATTTTCATTTATTTTTACAAATGCTAATATAGAATGGTACAACATGGGTGAAAAGTTTAGTTAGCTGTACTACTTGATACTCTATTGTGGCTAGTTATGGAGCTCTATTTAATGTTATCTGACAGATGAGAGTGTTTAAGTCGAAAGAGTGCTGCTGCTCAACTGGTGAGCTGGGACATTGCCTACTGTGATTTCCTACTGGCAAGAAGTCTCTAAAGACCATTTTAAGGCAAGCTTGGCTGTACTTGAAACTAATAGAGTTAGGTAAGGTTTGACATGCTGCTTTCTTCTTTAGGCACACTAAAACACCTTTTGCAATTTGGGCCAATGTATTTTTGAACTGGAGAAGTGCGTTTCATATCATTTGAAAGACTCCTCGGTTTTGGTGGCATTAGCCCTGTACCTTGAAGTATGTTTTTGTTACGCCGGTAGTCTATGAACACATATGACCAGAGCCTAATACATTGTGTTGTTGATCACTACCATATACAACCGTCTGCAAAGAATAGTGCCATAATGAGGTGCAGGGAGAATATGGGAAAGACGACAGTATGTGATACAGGGTAAAATGAAACATCACAGGGCCTACACTGAGGATGCAGTGACAGTCCAAAGAAGATTATCCTCACAGTGTTTTGCTGTAAAGCTGTGGGCTGTCTGTATGTGATAGCACTTCCTACGTAGTGCCTATAGATTATGTTAATCAATAAAGTATTTTCAACAAGGAGTTTTATGTATCGGTAGACCAAAGTGCTGCATGGAACTAACTGTGCCAGTCTTTACGTGAATTGTTTTTAATAGTCTGTTGAATAAGGTGGTGTTCCAGTCACAGTTTAAAATCCTGATAAGGAAGGAATTGTAAAGTGTTTTGTTCCAAAGCTGTATACCAAATCATCCTGGCAGATAGTGTTCTTCATTCTTCCAGGGCTAGATTTTCACTGAACAGTTAGATGAAGTTACCTACATTTGAACTGATTCCTGGAGTTATCCTAACTGGAGTGAAAACGGTAATGCTGAAAACTGGTACATAAATCACTTTGTAGAGCTGGGCTGTTAACTGCATTAGTAAAAAATATGTTCTTTGTCTCACTGGTTTAAACTTAAAAAAACCCAAAACCACAACAACAACAAAAAAACCACCTAGAATGTTTTGTGTCTGACCAGGATAGGGTATTACTCAATTTATATGTATGGCCAGTGCAGAAATGGAGAATGTCTCTAAATTCAGCAAGTGGTGTGTGTTGCTCTAAAGGCAGCAAGTGACTCATGTGACTGTCTTAGCAGCTGGGCAGCAAGATTAGAGAGCTACTACGTACACATTCCCTTACTGAGGGGTCCAAGCTATTGCTAAATGAAGTTGTATTACTGCCAACAGCTGAATAACGGGCATAAGAAAATATAGTAAATAAGTGTGTCATCAGGTTAGTGCAGTAGTTATTTCACACAGTTAAAGTGAAGAAAAAAAAAAACAACCAAACTTTTCCAAGATTCAATTTAAGAGATTTTTGTCCTTTTCTCAAACACTCTTAACTTCATATGAGATTACATGTTAATTGTCCCTTTCAATTTGCAGATTTGCAAAAGTCATTTTGAAATGGCTGTTTCTGACAGTGCAGGGGAAAAAAGAGAATGCAAGTGAAGAATCTTATTCCAAAGAACTCATTTATTTGTAAAAGTACTAAAAATATGCTGGTATAATGAAGTATTTTGATTTGAACTGAAATTGGCAAAGTGTATACTTCTTGGTCACTTGCTAATTTGAAGACTTATTCATGATGTTATTCATCATGTATTTCCTAATTGTAAGAATTTGGGAAGTTTGTTCCAAATTGTCTTTAAGTTTTCCTGGCATGCCAGTATGGATTAGTGGAATATGTATTTTTTTTTTTTGTTTGTTTCCCTAATCTAATGTGTTGAGTTTTTCTTTTAACTCAGATACTTGCTTTTCTTAAAAAAGTTGCTAAACATTTGTGAATGCTTTCTCCTTTATATAGATGTATTTACAGTTGCACATTGACATTTCAACTATTATTTATGGATGTAAACTCAAAACTGTCACCCTGTCAAACACCTCTTTAGGACTAACCCTCATAAGAACTCATTTCAGTCTGGAGGACCAGAAGACATAAGCTTGACTGTTGCAATCGAGTAAATTGATACAGAAACCAAGAAGACATGAATATGAAGCTCCTTAGTGCTATTTATAGTGTCAACTTTCAGACCATAATTATGTTTTAAAGATGAGAATGTATTTACTGAAGAGGAGCTTTTATATTTAAAATGCCCAGACAGATGAGAGGTCAAGCCCATGATAAATTACTTATAGTAAAAGAGGACCAGAAGAGTGTGTGTTCCTAGCCATCATCACTGCGTCCCGCTGCCCTCAGAAAGATTAAACTGTTTGTTTGTTATTCTGCTTTCAGGTTTTCTGGGTTTCTGCTTTCTCTCTTTGCCTGTCTAGTAATGACTTGTTTCCCATCTTGCTACTCTTTCATGTTTATTCCAAGTTTGTGCAGTTTTCCTCAACACTAGTTTTCATTTATATCTCTAAGAAAAAATGGAGAGCATAAAATAAGGTTGTCCAGAATTGTCAGTGCATCTGAAAACTATCTTCTCAAGGTGGACCATCATTTTAATAATACTTCAAAACACCTTGTTGACCTGGCCCTTTTATTTTTGCATGTGTTTAGATTTCTTCATAATCAAGTCTCTTACTGTTTAATATTTTGAAATCTTTGATTTATAGGAAATGTTCAGTTTGTTTTTTGCTTTGATTCATCCTCCTCTGAATGTTTTGTTACTACTTTTTCTAATGTACCATTTTCCTGTACCAGATTGCTTTTCTACTCTTCTTTCATCATTTTTCAGTCACATATTACTCATCAGTTGCAAAAGAAAAATGGCTGTGTTCTTATTTCTGCACCGCTTAGTCTGATGGTGCTCTGTGACATAGGAGCTGTAAGAAACAGAGGGATACTTGTGTATTGATAGGTAGCTTATAGACAAAGCACTAACAGATTGTGGCCAAGCGTATACCTGTAAAATATGTCGATCCTCCGACTGCTTGAAGGCTTCAGTGGATTCTTTTGTGCTGTTCTTAACACATTCTTTGAGATGAGCCATCAGAAATGTCCATCTGCCAACAGAGCTTTAGGTCCTGGATCTTGCTGCCCTGTGCTATGTGTGCCACACCATCTTCTTGGGCTCTGACTTCTAACCCCCCCAGGGAAGAACTCTGCTGTAGTGCAGGTTGTCTTGAGCTGCTTCCTTTTCTTCTGCAACATGTTCTGTTTATTTAGAGCACCTTTTGCACAGCTGGAAGAATTCTATAAAATAAACAACTGTCCTGAGAGGATATTTGTGTGAACCTGGACTTTGGCTTGTTTGTTTGTTCCTTTCAGAATTACACCCAAGATTTCTTAGCCACAAATTTGTGCTGCTCCACTGAACCAAAGAGGGAAGTACCTTCCCAGGGATTCTAAGGAGGAAAGCTCTTAAGCAACCCCTAGCCAAAAATACAGTATTTTCTTTAATAAATTTGATTTCCAAAAGGCCAAGGAGAAACAGCCCAGCAAGATCAGCCAAAAATATTTTGTGTTTGTGTGAGATTGCCTCTTGCAAGCAGGCATGGTTTAAGAAAGGAACAGGAAAGATTGTTGCTTGATATAGTCCTTTTCCCCCTGTTCCTTAATGGCATTGCATTCTTAGGATGGGGAATTATCATGGTGTTTGCTTCTTAGGACTGTTAGAAAATCATGGATATTTTGAAGGAAGTTGAGGTGCTGTTTCTGATGCTATGTCTGTCCTGGTGAGAGTTTCGCAGTGTTACTCTGGTAGTGTGTGCCACCTGCCCAATATGCTTTTCTTTGACAGGAAGACCTACAACTAAGAAGAAAAAATGGCTTGGGGGAAGCTGGTAGCTGTTTTTTAAAAAGCTCAGCCTGTACTCTCTGGCAGCTTTTCTTAGGGCTAGAGTTGCAGTGTCACTGCTTTCCTTGCACCAGGGGAGGCCTGGCAAGTTGGCTGGAAGTTGTAAGTTGATCAGAAGTGAATCTCTAGCTCTTCAGTTTCAGATGCGATCCTGGTATTTGGTTCTTCTAAGAAATGACAAGCTTCCCAGTGACGAGAGAGAATTTCAGTAGCTGTCTTTGGACAGAGAGAAATCTTGGTTCTGATATCCTCTGAGAAAGCAAGCCTTCTGGGGCAGGCTGCAAAGTAAAGCACGGGAAGGATCGGAGCCTAGATAACTGAAGCGCTCTTCTCCAGTAACTATAGATACTGTGGTCTTTCACAGGAGAGCAGTAGACAGGAAGAATGTTTGTTTCTAAGCACTGATGACCGCGTAAGAATAAATAGAACTAAAGGAGGCTTTCGGAGTTGTGTTGCTTTGTTCATGTCTTAAAAAAAAAAAGTAGCATCCATTTTTAGGATTCAGTGTACTAGAGGCTGAAAAGGAAAACAGCAGGCATCTGTCCTTCCCCTGACAAGCTTACAGTGTTACTCTAAGGAGGAGAACTGAGACATGTGGAAAGGCAAGGGGAAAAAGCAGTTAAAGTACTTGCGGTTTCATATATGCACCCTGTTTAATTTTGTATGTTAATTTAACAACAGTGGCTGACACTGCTGTTTTTAAACAAAATAGTAAATTCAGCTGTCCCTCATTTACACAAAGCCAAATTATGTTCCTCTCAGTCATTGCCGTGGGTGCTCCTATGCTATCCTGCTTTAAAGGCCCTGGATCACTGAAGGCAAATACCCAGTAGGATGCTAGTTTTCAGAGCTGTATGTATCCTGCAGATGGGAGCTCACAAGCCAGTTTGCTGGCTGGAAACTTATGCATGGATCTTGACAATGGAACATATTTATACAGAGTTCTGGTATGCTCTCTAGCACGTTTGATGTTTTGCTTCAGGCTCTGGATACTTCGAGAAATCCTGCTCTACAGCCACAGTCCATACCCTCGTGAAATACCTAGCTGCTTGCACATTGTTTCTGACTCTTGTGATGGAGAGACACTACTTGCCCCACCTGCATCATGAGACTTGTACTGTAAGCACCTTGATACCAAAGCAGGAGAGCCTGCAGTGCATTTACAGAGTAAATTGCAGAGTGAGAATAAAGTAAATGGCTCTTGTGTTTTTTCTGAGGTTTTTATTTTTTAAGAATCAAGTTTCTGTGGCAGAAATTTTTGGGAGAACCTGTTTTGAGATTACAAGCACACATTTTTCAAAATCATCGTCTTCATAATCTGTTTAGAACACAGCTTTCACTGCCTTCCACTGCAGCTGCAGGCACTAAGTATTTCTGCAAATCACTCCTTGTAGACCTATGCCAAGGACCTGGAAAATTAATGACCTCTCCTGTAGTGTTCAATTTAAGTGACACAGAGATCTCTAGTAGAATCTGAGTTCTCTAGGACAGTATTCAGTTATCGTATTCAAAAGATTGGTTTCTGAATGACTAAAGGGCTTGTGGAATAAGTAATCAAGAAAGTGGCCAAATTTGCATAGAGTTTACGGGAATGACAGCTCTACCACTATCCCCGTCGGATTTCAAGTCTCCATCCCAAAGTACAGGGGTTCAAAACTCTAAGAAAAGGAAAAGTAGGAAAAGTCTGCCAGAATCTTTTGACACAGACAAAACTTTTTTTACATTAGAGCCATTTCAAAAAAATAAGGGTTACTGTTTTGAATGAATAAAAAGTGAAGAAACAAAATGCTGAAGCAGACACTAAATTGTAAAATTTCAACCCAAACAATGGCAGTTCGGCAAAGTCATAAGTTGTCTGGTGTAGAGGAGTTTGTCTTACAATTGCAAGTGTTTGGCAGCGTGGTGAAATGTGATCCTACTCATTCTGCCAATAGCAAAATATGCTGGATTTGAGTTAGCATTTGTACCTACTGACAGCAGCGTTGATTCTTGTGTAAATTAACTGAGGGTTTTTCCTGCTTTCAAATCAAGGGTTGTTAGAGAACTGTCATCACTGGTCTTACCAGCCCAATCAAGGCCCAAGATGACAAATACTACTTTTAATCAACCTGATAAATGCTGATCAAATTGTGTTTGCATTTTATTCAGTAAGAATAATTACACTTGTGTGCATATCAAAGCCTGGTGTTCTGTTTCTGACAGTGGTAAGACCAAAGGTGGGGTGAAAGGCACAGAAGCAGGGCGAGCATGTAGGGATAGCTTTCCCAGGGTGTTCTCCTGACCTTCAATAATTTGCTTGTCAAAGGCTTCCTGAGCCAGACATGGTCGGTTTGTATTTACTAACCCTCACTGTACTCTTTCCATGAACTTTTTTCCTGTGACCTTTTGAGCCTTTGTAAACTCTTAAGTGTCTATAAAAACCCTGTTGCAAGGAGTTCCAGAGCAGGAACGTGTGAAGAACAGGTACATTTCCTTTTTGAGCCTGTGTCTTTGTCATTTCATTTCACAGCTCCAGCTCTTTTTTTGGAAGAGGCAGTAACTACCAGCCTGTTCAGCTTTGTCTGTCAGTCTCTAGCCACTTCAGTGCAGTTATACCTGCATGCCGTTCAGTTGCATCTCCCTTATACATGTTTATTGATTCTTTCAGAGAACTCCATTTGCTTCGTAGAGCTTGATTTCCTTTTCTGAAAGTTGCGTTACCTCTTCACCAATATGTTGTGTTTGTTCACGTCCCCCCCACTGCCCCGTTGTTATTCAAGTTTGTGCTGACATGCCTAATGTAGGTGTCAAGCTTAATATCTGTAGTACTTTGGTGGACATTGGGAATTGTTAGGAAAGAAATGAAACAGGCAGCAAACTGTGGTGTTTCCGTCTCCTGAATACTGTACAAAAGATGGGAGAAAATACAAGACAAGATGATGAATATAAACAAAGTAGTGAAACAGCTTCCATGCGAGGAAGGCCTGAGTAGGCTTAGGCTTTTCAGCCTGGTAAGAGACTACAAAAGGGAGAATAGAATAGAGGTTTCATATCACAGACGGGATCATAAAGGAATCATGAGTGCCAGAGACGGGATGAAGGATGAGAAAAATTATTAACTGAGAGGAAAGAGAAACAGTGGGAGTTGGGTTCAGAACAAGCTAAAAGAAAGCTGTTGTGAATAAAATGCAAACTTAAGCTGTGGAACTCCTTGCTGTGGAATGTTCTGAGTAAAACAACTTACATGGGCACAATAGGGGACTGCCAAATTAGTGGAAAAGAGGACTATTAAATCTGTCTGGCACAGGAAGTCCCTAAGTCACAAATGGTGGTACTTTCCCAAAATACTACACGCTTGCCTTCCTCATGATCTGCTGTTACTGGAGCAAGGATGCTGGACTGGATGGGCTTCTGCTCTGACCTGCTAGGACCATCACTGTGTTCCGATGAGAATTCAGGGACCCAGAACTGGAAAAAATCAGCCTGGCTGAGCCAAATGCCTTGCTGTCACAGAAACCCTGTCTGTGAACCTATATAGGTCCTAGTTGCACTTTTTCCTCTCTTCACATCCCTATCTTCTGACATGTAAACTTAAAGACAGTGTTTTGTTGGCTAGGAACCTTTTTCATTTCCAGCCTAAAATTACTTATTATAAGCTTACACTTATTCTTTATGCCAGCCCCGCTGATTGTCTCATTGGTGTACTTACTGAGCCTTTTTTTTTGTAAGGTGTTTTGTTGTGCTATCCCAAATAAAGTTTTTGTGAATATGTATTACCAGATTTATACATGGTGTTCCCAGCAAGATCTTGGGAATCCGCTATAGTGGCATCTGTATGTCCCTTTCTGCACTGGAAATACAGATGCTTTTTTGAATCACTATATTTTCTTTCTTCTGAACCAGCTCTCTTAAGTGACTTTTACTAGCTGCTTATAGGGTGGTTATAGACAAACTTTTTCCTTCTCTGCTACTTCCAACTAATGAGTTGTCACTTCTAAGCAGAAACTGCTAGTCGCTAAGTGCATTACTCTGTCCTTTGTTGTTACTTTTCATCTCGTTTCTGTTGCAGCTGTCCTTAAGATTTGTTGCAGTTTTTTCTTTTGTGTTGTTTCAGTCTGCACTGTACTTCTGGTACCCCCTAGTTTTGTATTTTCCACATGTTTTGGTAGTGCTCACTTAAAGGCATAAAAAAATTCTAAATGAAAATGTTGAATCAAAAATACTGAAGACTAATCTTGGCAGAAGTCCATAAATAACATCCTTCCACCTTTCAGAAAGAAATCTGTTGTCATCTCTTCTTGATCTGCTGCTTTTCCTGCCATACTATTCTTGAACTAACCCCTCTCTTCTCAGCTCAACAAACTACTGCTCAAGTGGTAGTATATCAGATTTCTTACTGAGTGAGACTAGAACTGTTGTGCTTCCCTTATATAAAGATTATTTTGTCATGTTGAAGAAAAATTGGATGTTTGACATGGTTCAACTTTTTAAAATTGTGTTACGTTTTATTTGATTTTCTCTTTACCTTTATGTTTTCATACTTTCTTTGAAAACATGCTCCAAGCAAGAGCAAATTGTGTGTCCAGGTAACTTTTCTTCATCTTTCCTCAATATTGAAATGAGGCAAAAAGTACTTATTTGGATTTGATGCTGTTCTGAGACTCTTCCATCTCATCACATGGCAGCCATGCTTCCTGTTAAATCAGAAGATGGAATTTCAATATGAAAGGTAATGTTATATAAGTATGGTAGATACTTCTTTAAATTCACCTTTCAGAAGCCCCTGTGTTGGTCTCTGTGGTTGGTAGCCATCTCTGGTGCAGAGGACTGTAAACTTCTACCTTATTTTCATTGTAGTGAGAATAGTGAGTTGAAACGGTTCCCCAGTGCTTCTCTCTGTTGTGACTGTAGATGTTTGGTAGACTTCGTTCTGACCAAGTTTATTCAAGGAAATGCATGCACTGCCAATAAAATGAACTTAGTAATTTAGCACCTCTCATCACCCCTGCTAAGGTGACAGCATCTCACAGTGCCACGGTACTCCATTAGTCTGTTTGTGCTCAGTCTGTTCTGCCAGGTTGGTTCCCCTCACCGTCGTCTTGGATGTTGGGTCTGCAAGATGGAGACTGTGCCAAATCCCCTTGTTTAGCAGGGTGCTGAAATTTCTGCCGTTCCTGACTCAGAACAGCTGCTCAATCTGGTTAGTGCCAAGACACCATAGGAAATCTGTGGGTGCAGTTTCTCAGTGATTTGCAGTTTGGGCTAGAGTTGTGGGAATCCCAGCCTGCTCATCCCTGTGCCTGAAATGGCTCTTCTCTGCCTCCTCTTGTGCTGGCACTAAGACGACCAAAGACTTAGACTGCACAGAAATGGTTGGCATTTTTTCTGTAAGGTTAATTTGACATTTTATCTCTCTAGGGTTAATATGACTGGTTTAGCTGTCCGGTACATTGTGTGGCCAGACAAGCACCAGTGCGAGAAGGAAAGGGAGAGAGGAAGAAGCGCCGTACCTTGAACTGTTTCAGTGTGGAGGCACGCTCAAAATAACTGAGCTCTGGACAGGCTGACAGAGTGCTGTCCTGTGCTCTGTTCAACATGACAGCTGGACAGACGTGTCCATCTCCAATCCCAAAGCGTTAGCCAAGGTGCTGTGTCAGAGCTGTTACCCCCTGCCTCTGAGCTGCTCCTGAGCACTTGAGCCTGGCACTGCTTTTGCCACACAGCCTGGCCTCCAGCGAGGAGGTGGCTTGTGTCCAGCCAGCTCGGAGTGTTGGCTGGGCATGGTTGCCTCTGCCTATGGTCAACCCAGTAAACAGGGCACTTGCTTAGGTGAAGTTACCTAATTCTGGAGATGGCTGCTTTGCTTTTGGGATTCATCATCCAGAGATGAGAAGGTAACTGCTGAAGCTGCTTGCCAAAGCAGCTATCAAATCTGATGAGGGATCAGGCCTTGAGGTTAACTGGCAGCAATTATCTGTACCATAGCTATATCCATGCTGAGTGATTCCTCAGTGTTTTGTTTTGTGTTGGTTTTGTTGTTTGTTTTTTTTTAAAAAAAAAACAAACAAACCAAAAAAACCCCAACAGTGCTGGTTTCTGTGGTGCCTGTAATTCAAAGGAAGTATCAGCCCTCGTCTTTGCAAATACAGCATTTTGGCTAAGAACCTTAAAGTTTTGGTGACAACTGTGGTAATGATGGGACTGAAATACAGATGCCTGACATCTCATGTTCCCATTTGGGATACAGGCTCCTCTGCAAGTACCCCCCTGCTTTGATAAGGAAACTAATTATTTCAGAAAGGGAAATGTTGAAATCATCAGGACGTTGTACCTGCTATGGTAGCATTGCGTCGTTTTTCTTAGCCATTACTTCACATAACCCTAACTCTTTTTGATAATTTTGTACCCGGCCCTTTAGCAGATGTTTCCCTCCAGCACTAGTCCTGGTGGCAGCTTGTGCTAACTGACGGGGCTGGGAGAATGTGATATGTTTCGGGAGAGGGATGGAAGATTATCATCGCTACAAGTCAGAAATAAGTGTGTTGTGTGTGGTCGATGATATCTAACAAGTGTGGTTTAGTAAGATGAGCTTCCAGCTCTCTCTGCAGGAGAAGGGGATGCATACCTTTCTTTACTCCAGCAGATTTCTGTGATATGATAGGAGTCCGGAAAGAAATGTAATTTCTACAGCCAAGTTCCTATGTGTTACTTTTTCATGTGTTCTTAATGATAGAAAGCTTGGGTGGGTGCCGTGCTGTCAGACTGTATTACCCAGCGTTAGCTGGTCATGAATCCATGCTTCGTGTTCACAAGTATTTATTTTTTCGTAAAGACTGCTCGTTTGTGCAGTTCCAAACGCTGATGGCACGGCCACGAGTCTCCACATCTCCCTTGCCTGCCCTCTTTTACTCAGATTTGGGTAAGCAGGGCAGTTGCAGTTTGAAATTTGTAGTTGTAACATTATCTCTTAGAAGTAAAGAAAAAAATCCTGCTAAAACAAGTAGTGTAGACCACACTAGATCTGCTTCAGATAAGTCTGTCCATTATTGTGTGCAATTAGACCAAGTATTTTAAAGGATTAGTAAATATTATATTTTAAGAGATTGGTTAGTGGTAGGAAGTAAGGCTGCTAGTGAAATTTTTCTTCTAGAGTCCAAATGCAAAGATCTCTTATTAAAATTTATCCAGTTGTTTAGCTTTTCTTAACAGAAAGTTCATAGGTCATAGAAACAAGTGCGGTATGAAATTTCAAACCCAATAGTCACCTGCTTTTAAAGAAAAACAGTAATATTCCCTCATTTTAGAAGTCAGCACAGTTATTTAACTACTGCTTTGTGCTGTCAAAATATGCCCCTGTTGTTTACATTCATGTGTATTCTAAACTGTTTTGATTTTTGTTTTGTTAATTTTATTTTTAGCTGTAGAAGCCTGTACAGGCTCGCAAGGATTTCATTGGCATGCTTTCTTGCCACTTTTTCCTAAGAAAAGGTGACCATACCAAGGCTGTGAATAATCCTCTCTGTATTCAAATCTGTTGGACAGTGAGTGTTGCCTTGCAATTTCTTGACACTGCTGCTTTGCCTCTGCTTTGCTTCATTTCACTTTTTAGGCCCCCTTCTCCTCTTCACGGGATTCTCTGTTTTGGGGATTTTTTTACCAACTTGTCACCTGCCAGATAAGGGCGGGGGGGGCGGAACAGGGGGAAGAGATTGGTTTCTTGTAACTGTTCTATTGAGAGCACCTTGTTGTTCTAATCCACCTATAATTTGTCTCTGCTTCCTCTTCCTTTAATCTCCTTTTGCCCCTATCTCCAAACCTCCTCACCTTCATCGTCATGACTCCTCCCTCCCCAATCTTTGGTTTTGGAAGAAGCTGGGAGGAGTGGTTAGATGCCAGAAGAGCTCAGTTATTACTTACACAGGGAAACTTCATCCTGTCCAACAAGTATGCTATTCGTAGCCTTGAGGGATATATCTAAAGGGCACAGAGTTTCCACTCAAAATTTAAGTAGATTAGATTATGTATACATATTTGTTGTGACTTGGCAGGTATCCCAGTGCCCGAGGTCTTAAAACATATACTTTGCTATACTTGAGGCAAGCTCAACTGCATGTTTCAAAAGATGCTCTGGAGAGATGGGAGGCTGCTGTTTGGAGTTCACAAAAGTGTTATCCTCTCTAGATCTGATATGACACAGGAATTCTGACTACTGTTCTGTCTAGTCCTGTATTTTGTCTTGATACTAGCTGCTATCAGATGTTTCAAGGGGTGGTATAACTGTAAGACACAGAGGGGAAGTTCCTCTCTTTTTTACGTCTCTGCTGGTTTGGATTTTGTCCTGAAAAAAAGAGGGTTAGTATTTTTTTCTGAAGCCCTCTTGAAATCGTGCTATAATTCTGGATGATACAATTACCTGTGTAAGTCTTGTCTGTCTACCTGTATGTTACCTTCTGGCAGTAAATCTCACAGGCTAATAGTTTGCTGTTACAAAATATAGTATGCTATACTATAGTATATTATTAGTTTAAAATTTGCTATGCTGTGGTTTTATTGAACGTCTCTCACTGTCGTAAGAACAGATGAAACCATCTGAGCAAGTTACTCTACTGCTAATTATTTTAATAGTTTTATCTTGTAATCTTGTTTAAAAAAAAACCATAAAAATTGCAGCCCCAAAATTCAGGTGCTGCAGATATGCTGGAGGGAACCGTGAAGTTAAAACAGCTGTATTTTATGAAATACTGTTTGGTATGGCACTTTTCCTTATAAGGCCCAATGACCAATTGTTTTGATTATTTAGAAGGAAAAAATTCCATGAGAACTGTTACTGAAAATGACTAACTTGGCATTAGTGATCTGTCTCTCTGTTACAGCATTTGATGCAATACTGAAGTTAATTAAGATAGCTGAAATATCCAGTTAGCCACTCAGTGCTTCAGCTGTTCATATGTGACCTGTTTATTACATTTTCTTGTAAATTGCTAATAATATCTGTAAATAAATACTACTCCTGTTTGTAGTGGTGGCTTCTTAACATCCAGGCCTTTGTAAATAAAGAACAGTCTGCGTATCTAGTAGAAAGCTCAAACACTTGATTTGCAGTGCACAGTGACCTATAGGCTTTTGCGGCGAGGAGCTGAAGTGATTCCTCAGGTTTTGCCATTAGAGCAGTGAAACCTTTGAAGGAGGAGCATGGTGCTGCGAATGCTGATGGACGGTGGGGTATCTGCAAGAGCGGAGTGGCTAGGGCTGCTCATTAGAAACTAGGGATGGTCGGGTCAGGTTGCAAGAGAAGGGCATACTGAACAGAGAGGTAGGCTGGATTTAGTTAAGTGGGTGTGTTTCTTTGTTTAAGCAAGGATTGGAGGTTGATAAAAATGCACTATCTGAGATGCAGTAGATAGGAGCTGCATTTGCTCAAAATTGCACAGGGGTACGTGAGAGAGATGGGACCAGGACTTAGCAGATCTGAAATGTATGTCCACCGGACCCGTTCTTTTGGCATCCCAGTGGCTTAGAGAAGATATGCTTGAAAACAGTTACTACAGTTGCTCAAACCCGTTTGTTTTATCTATTAGTCTCTTAAAAAGCAAAGGATGAGGAATATTCTATTGTGTGGATTTTTTTTACCTGCTGCATGATATTCTTCCCGTATGTTGAAAAAAAGATTTGCCCTAACAAACAGAAACTGCATGCAAAATTTACTGCATTTTCCTATTTTACTTCTGGTTTGCTTTTCTAAGTGTAGAAACATAGGATTCACTCAAGCAGATAATAGGTAGAATTGTCCCTTTGTGAACCTTAAAATGGAGGTAGTGAGAAAGAATGTCTAGGCCGCTGATCACTGGGAAATAATTAACAAAAACAATTTACTGTGGCTTAGTCCACAGTAGGGTGTTACCTTGAACACACTTCAGTTCCTCTTACAGCATCATGTGTCCATGCTGTACTTAATTCTAAAAGTTATATCAAACAGGACTACTTACTGCAGTAAGTGCAGTAAATGCTTGTTGCAGTGAGTTAGTTTCCACTCTAAGGTTTCTTTGGGTTCATTGCTTATAATGTGCTGGAGTTTGTATTTCTTCCACGTGCTTCACTACCCGTGTCCTCCTTTACTCCAGGATTGTCCTGACTGGAGGTAAATGCTCCATAGGTGTTGGCAGGTAGCCAAGAGTGCTGCTTTTTGTGGTGGGGGTTGTTAGAAAGATGGTTGTAACAATTGATTAGTTCTGAAGAGTCTGCCAAGGCTCTGGTGGCCTCCGGTTCATGTATGTCTGACCCTACTTGGATACAAATTGTTATGGGATGGACAGGTACAGGTCTCTGCCCACATACACGAAAGCGAGAGAGCACACCTGGACCTGGCCTCGGGGATGAATCAACACAAAGGACTACAAAGGATGTAGCAGAAGACAAAGAAACACAACAGGATTCTTGATCAGTGCCCTCATACGTGCTCTGGGCTGTGGTTTTGCAAGTGACATTTCCACTGAATCCAAGAGTGACTTATTCCCCAACCCCCCCACCCTGGGATGGTGCACAGTGCCACAGCAGAGGCCCGAGGTAACAGGGTAAAAACCCAGCAAATAAAGGTCAGTAGCCTCACCTATGCCATAGTGTCCAGCTGGGCCTGGGCCTGCTGCAAGCACTGTGACTCATCAGATGTGAACAATACCCAAGAAACAGCTACAGGATCCTGCAGAGGCTGGAGGAGGAAGCCGATCCAGTAAGTATTGCATGCCCAATTGCACAATAACTTCACAGGAGGGTTTAAACTACTTTTTCTGGAGTGGAGCTCTCTGTCTCAGGTGGCAGCATTCCCCTTGCCATTTAACTTAGCCATTCTCAAGCTTAGATGAGACTCTTGTTATATTTATTTGCTGTGGGCTCCTCATCCACCCAGATGCACTGTCACTCACTGGCCACCTCCAAACTTCTGCACTCCAGCCACTGTCCCTACATCTCTTAATTTCTCTTACCCTCTCACCCAGAGTAACAACCTTCACTGTTGATATCCCCCACCCCAAAATTTTGCATGTCAAATACAGCAAATTCTGTTCAGTCTTCACTCAGCTGCCCTTGCCTAGTTATCAGTCCTGCTATACTGAAGGACTTCTCAGAAACTTTACTGTCAGCTCCCTTGTACCTCCATGTCTTTTCCTTCCCCTCTTCTCTGTGCGCTCTACCCTCTGTGTGAGAGATCTGTCCCATGAGGAGTGGCATCAAGTTATCTTCGCTGCCCAAGTCTTTGCAGCTCGGTCCCATAGCTACCTTGTCCTATTTGGGAAGCCTGAAGATCTCTAGGAGAGGGGTGACCCTGCTTTTGGTGTTGATGTCACCACAGAGCACGCTGCCTGCTCCCTGCCTGCAGGGGAGTGGGCAGCAGGGAAGGCGCGAAGCAGCCCAGCCCAGCCATACACAGCAAGGAGCACCACCATCCCAGCTGAGCCAGAGCCATGGCACGGCTCACCTCCATGTTCCCTGGAGCTCAGCTCCTCACATGGGAGCAAGGGAAGAGAGTTTGAAGACTGGAGGGAACCGTGCCTTTGTGGGGATGCACAGATGTAGAGGACGGATGGCGTTACATGGGACACTGTTTCCTTCTGCTGCTGCCTATACCCCTGCTCATGTGACATGTCCTTCAGTTTAGCAAGTGTTGGTTTGCCTTCCTCCTAGTCAGTGTCATCTGTGCTGCTGAGTCAGGGCTTTCTCCAGTACCTGACTCCACAAATGCAAGAGCTCTTGATCACACTTATTGATGCTTTTGCATTTTTTGTATTGCCTTTTTTTTTGCTCTTGCTCCCCTCCCTGAAATGGCATCCTCTCATCATTCTCACTTTAAAGCTCTAACAATATTCTTTTTTTTTGCTATGCCAAGTCGCAAACGTGAGTTGCACTCTTCTCCCTCCTTTCTCAGCCGATTTGATCGCCTCTCATTTCCCTCTCACTAATCACAGCCTTCCCCAGCTTTGGTTATGCTGCCCCCCTGCTCCAGACCTTAGTCATGCTCAGAGTGTTTATAAATCTTAATGCAGTCTCAAACATAAAGCTGTGCTGTCACAGAGTTTCATTAGCGTGCTCAATCTTTGCTGAGGGTGAAGTACACAAGGAATTTTGAACTGCTTTGCTGTTCTAAAACTTTTATTTAGTAGAATGAGCTTGTGTATATGTAACAACTGCCACAGAATTTTCTTGATTTTGCAGTGTGTTTTACAGTAATTTATAGGAGTGAAAAGAGTATGTGGGAGAGAGGTTTGACACAAACATTGCAGGTAAAGGAGGTGTTGGATTTTTTCCTGTTTCTTTTTTTTTGCTTTCTTTTTTTTTTTTCTTTTGTTTAAGGAAATGCTCCTCTAGCACTCCTGGGTGAAGCTTGTTGATAGGTAGCCTTGCAGTGTATTATCGCAGTTTGCCTGTTGTCTTTATAAATTAAGCTCTTAAGTCTCCCAGGAATTTGCTAGGGAGTAATATCCTTCAGCGTGAGGACAGCTAGTTGCACATGTGTGCTGTTGCAAATGTAATGCCTACTGTTTTTTTCTTTAAAAAAAGACAAAGGCAGAACCCTTTATACTCAAATGCCTATCCAACAGTGTCTGACTATTTCAAGTTTTGAAACAATAGCAAACAACTTACCCCATTACGTATGTCCCAGAAAAACCTACAACAGCATATGTAGTATGTGGAAGTAATTTGGAAGGCATCTTGCAGTTTTGAAGGGAACACGGTGAAAAGAAAAGTTGGGGGAAAAGAATTTGAATGTGGTCATGAAGGAAGAAACTAGTTAGCAGTATTAAAATAGAGTTTGTAATGAGTGGGGTGACGAGTAACATCTTTATTTTTTCTGATTTCTCATAGCACATAAAAAAGCTGCAGCCCATATGAAGAGGGGAATTATTAGCTAAAAGATAGCCATCAGATTTCAGAAGATAAACGAAAGGTGGATCTGAACCTTGAAATTGTCAGCTCAGCTCAGCAGGAGGTTGCAAAGGCAGAGTGGTGAAAGGAGGGTTTCCTGGAGAACTCCCTGAAGATTGAAATGGATTATGCGATTCTGGAAGGGGACAAGAAACGGGCAATACAAAGGTGCTAAACATAAACAGTTGTAAGAAAACACTGGCCAAACACTTTACCTCCAACACCCTGTAAAATATAGAAGATGTTCCATATTGAGACCACCATATCAGTTGGGCTAATTAGAAATGTTGCCTGACAGCATTCAGGATCTTGTGTGCATCATCTAGAGGAGCACTCCTTGCGTGACCTACTTTGTTTTTAAGGTCATTATTTTTTCATTGAAAAAGCACCATCAGCTAAATCAGTAAATAAATCCATTTTCTAAATGCCTGTCTGAAAAATAATTGAACACACAACTATTGTAAAACTCATCTCTTCATAACTTTTTAAAAATAAAATTGAACTAAAACATACCTTTTGATTGCAAATTTTTTGCTAGCCTACAGCTACTTTCCCAAAGTGTGAAAGGAGCTCAAGCATCTTGTTGGAGAGCACTTGGAGAAATACGTTCTCCGGGACTCACAAAAACATCTCCATTTCATGTTTCCATCTGCCCTCCAGGATTTTTTCGCATAATACGCATGAAACATTGATGCATACCATACAGTCATAAGACTATTTTTATTCCATCTTTTTTGTCACCATCTTCCTTCCACCTTTCTAGAAGTCTGCCCCACTGTCAGTCTGCAGCTGTTCAAGGCAAAGCCTTGCATGTGTTTTTCTCCCATCACTTAATGTAGGCTTGGAAATCAGGGAAGCAGAGCCTACTAAGATTACTTTAAAAAAAAAAAAAAAAAAAAAAAAAAAAGAGGAGAGCTCTTAAATGCCCTGGTGTCTTGGACAGTGGAGAACAAAAGTTCAAAAGTTACCTTGCAGGACACAGGTCTTTCATCACAGACCACCCATTATTAGTGGTGGTGAATGCTTACTGTGATAAACTGTGTCCAGCAGGACTGTGAAGGAATATGCCATTGTTTTGATAAAGTCTGAAGCTTGTGTGGTTGGAAGGTGGAGCTGGGGTAGAGTAGGGCAACAGGTACGCGTCTCGCCGCCTGCTGCTGTGCCAGTAGGGAACCCTATCCCTTCAAAGCTATCCGTAACCTCCTGTGCATTGACAGACATGGAGAAACCTCCTCGTGCTGCTGCCAGCCTTCCTGACTTGGTTGCCCCGCCAATAACAAGCTGATTACCTTGTGATTTAATGGTAAAATTGTTTGGTGACTGCATCATTATGACACTTCATCAGGCTGATGGGAGCTCCCAAATTGGTTTTCTGTTGGTGTGACTTCAGGTCAGAATCTGTGTGGACTTCCGGCAGGTTCTGCCTGTGCTGCCTGAAACTAGGAGTTGCTGCCAGTCACCTGAATCCAAAACTTGTACTCCAGGTGACTGTTGTCGTTACTAACTGCCTGGCTTCATCTCCCTCTGCTGTGTTCAACTGTGTAGCCCTAAATTATGCACGACTGCTTTTAATTGTTCATTAATCTGACATCACATCTCAGAATTGTTAAGATGTGCATCCCAAAATGCGTTGCATGACAAACTGAAGCAGAGCACTGTAAATGAACCACTCAACACGCCAAATGGGAGATGGGAACAAATGCAGAGCTATGTACTTACCTCATTAACAAGGATGTTCTCATAGCAAAATGGCACGCAAACACTCTGTGAAGTCACTGTAATCAGAGTAAGCTGATTAGGTGTGTGCTAACATTATTCCATAGACAAAGCTGCTACCTATGAGCAGAGTCAGAAATACGTTTAGTGCCTACGCTGTGCAGGTTCTGAAAGGCTCACTGATTGCAGCTTTGAAGAGGGATTTGCTTTGGTATTACCCTAAAGTATTCTGCATCTTTAGTTACCCCTTCCTAAGGCTTTTGTGGTTTAGCTCATAAGGTCATTGATACAATCATCCAGCATCACAGCTGTAGCAGTAGTAGCAAAGGCCATCATGACTAAATGTGGCACTTGCTATTTAATGTAAGGTTACAATAATTATGAAGTATTTTCTTTTCAGATAGAACAGCAGTTCCTCAACTGCAGAGTGTATTGGAAGATTAGTGGCTGTTTGGAAATTGGGCACTCTTTCTTACTTGTTCCCTTTCTTTTGGGGGCTGGGAGGCAGAGGAGACGGGGCAACCAGGATCAGCATTTTAATTGGAATAGCTGCAATAAATCGTACGAAAATCCAAGGTTACAAATAAAATAATGCTAAACCCTGTCACAGTTTTTGCTCCCAGGCAACGTTGTTCAGGCAGCATGATTCAGGCAGGACTGGGTTTCTGCTATGCTCTTTGGACAACTTTGTAGAGTTACTACCTACACCCAGGATGCAGCGTATGTACTGGGAAGACTACCCTTTCTCTCAATTACTTTATTTCTGTCCTTCACGTGTTGTCATTTTGTCCCAAATGTGAGCCTCCCAACCATCTAACCTAACCTCATGAGGCAAATCTAATGCTCCTGTGAAGGGTCTTGTCCTATTACAGTCACTTCAGCTTCTATGTGGTATTGCAATTTTTCAAGCACTTCTTCCCAGCACCTTCCCTTCTTATTTGAGCTTGTTTTAGCAAGATGGGTAAGTATATTCCTTTTATTTATTTATGGTTTTTTTAGTAGCAGACAGAAATTGAGGTAGGGTAGAGGATTTCTTCAAGCCCAAACAATGAATCACTGGTTGGATTATTGTAGTCCCATGTTTTCTGACTTCTAGTCCATGCTTATTTTACAGACTTTGCTATTTAAAACCTGTCCCTGCCTTCTGGCGATTCCTTTGTGCTGTCTGCCTAGCAGACCTTCAGGTGAAATTACTGAGCTCTTTGGTAAGTTTTACTTTTTCAGTTTAAATGAGGAGCACAGCACAAAGTGGATTGACTGGTGGCTGCTTTTTTCTGCATTATTCCAGTTCAAACCATCTCTCTCTGACTGACTCTCACTCTGCTAGTGAGCAGAGATCAATAGCTGCACAGGATTATGTTGTGTGGTGAGGTATATGAGTGGAGTTTATCCTGAGTTCACTGATGTCATTGTGATTTCCACCTAGCGGACTAGAGCACCAGAAACCCTTTTACTTGACTGAGTACTGAAACTGTTAAAAACATCTTGCATTACGATTCAAGTTAGATGACTCTCTGTCAGGTGGTCTTAGCCAGGCAGGTCTGCACCAGGAAAATCTGAAATCTGTACTAGGCAATTTTGGTAGATGCTGTAATAAAGCATAAAATTGATGGCCACTTGAGTGGGTATGATTATTTGGGAAGAGTTAAAGCAGCGTTTGTAAGAGAGAGTCCTGTCTTAGGGAGTTGGAGTTCTTTAGAGGCATCAGCAAGAATTAAAGATGTTCTGGTTCAAAAATCAAAGTGAACTTTATCAAAAAGGCTTTTTAAGGAAACTAAGGAGCCATAATGTAAGAGGGAAGGACTTCGCACAAGTAAATGACAGATTCAAAGGTAGGATCAAAGGGTAGAAGGTCAATTCTCAATTAAAGGAGGGTCCCAGTTATGTTTCACAGAGATCTGTGCTGTTCATCACATTCATAAATGGTATCAGTAAGGGGATGAGCAATTGGGTGAGCAAGTTTGCTATGAAGAGAGCCAGCTGTGGAGAACAGTACCAAGGACATTAAAGAGCTGAGGAATGTGCAACAAAATGGGCAATGAAATTCAGTGTAGATAAATAAGGATAACTGAGGCAGAACAATCCTGATATATGAGTTTGAGCTGAGTATTACCATTGAGAAGTAAGATTTGGGGATTGTGATTCATGATTCTGTGAGGTCATAAGCTCATTGACCACCAAAACACAACCCAAATGTTAGGGGAAAGAAATATAGAATAAAATTGAGAATCTCATTACAAGAACATATGGTCCAGTTGCCTCCTGAGTGCTGTGTGCACTTCTGGAACCTTCATCTCAGAAAAGATTTATTAGAACTGGAAGAGGCTTAGAGAAGGTCAGCAAGGATGATGAGCTACATGAGGTGGCTTCCATATGGAGAACACTTCTGTAAACTGGGGCTTTGGTCTGGGAAAGGAATGAATTGAGAGTAATGTCATGGAGATCTGCAGAGGAAGGAAGCGGCGGACTAAACACTGCCTTTCAAAACAAGAACATACACAGTTAGGAGGGAAGACAGACTCAGAGCCTTCAAAAGGAAAAGGTTCTCCATAAAATTGATAGTGCAGAGACCCATGGGACAACTTTTTGAAAGTACTCTGTAGATATTAGAAACAGATATGTCTTCCACGGGGAGCGTGGACTATTGCTTGGAAGGGTGATGTGCTGAAAGTTGCTAAACTAACAGAAACCACATATGGTTCAGGAAGTCCCTGACATCAGAGTAGTTGGAGGTCAGGAGAGTATCAGTGAGAAATATGATGCGTTCGTGACCTGTTCTGTACTTTTGGTTATTACTGGAGGCAGAATACTGGCCTAGGTATACTGTTAATCTAGCCTGCACACCTAGTCTCATTTTAAGATGTCTCGGGACAAAGGAAAATAATGTTCCTTACAAACATCAAATAATTTCTGATCATATTACTGGATAATCTCATAGGCACTTTTAGGATGTGTGTTTATGTTTACTTGTACATATACAGGGTTTGCTTTTGATTTTATTAGAAAAATGACATGGTCCTATATGCAGATTAAATAGTAACCAGAGTTTGCTTTCACAGAAGCATCATCACTTTAAAAATGGATGCAGATTATTCTGGGGGAAGGGGGGGAGGGGTGTGTGTGATGCCAAAATACATGAAAGCACTTTTGCAGGTTTTAATCTTTCTAAGAGTAATTACACAATCAACGTTATTTGTATCACAGCCTCTCCAAAGTTTTTAGAAAAACATCTATGCAGTGCCATAGAGATCCTTAAAAAGCCCATAAAACCACAATCATCAGATGGGTTAACTCTAGGCAGCTCTTGTTTCCTTTAATTTAGTATATAATCAGGAATCCTTTGGAACATTTAGTAACCAAAACTGAGCTCTCAAGATTTAAAGTGGACCTAAGTAATTTGAATCATGGAAAGCCTACAAAGAGATGCTGGATAGTATTGCGATTTTTTTTTCCTTTAAATTACAGACTATTAGGTCATGATAAAATAAATGTTGGTAAGTTCATGTTCTACTTTTCCAGAAACTTAAGAAGAAAAAAAAAAGGCAGGCATGATAGAATTTTTCTTCTATATTCCGAAAAACATTATGTAATACTCTTTCTAGTGTAGCATATTATAAGAATTAGTTGTTTTCTAAAATTAAAAATCTGGTTGTCCAAATTTCGTGACTGTAATACAGCTTTCAAGAATTGTGAATAGTCTTATGTAATGAAGAAAAAGGTGTTGTATTTAATAGTAAAATTTATATAAATACCTATTTTTGTGTAATGGTTACTGTCCCACAGCAACCTAGTGTTTTTTTCCTCCAAATGCTTACTTTATTATTAACAAAAGGTATGTATATTTAACAGATATTTACTAGTGGAATCTATGTATTTACTGTCCAGAGGAAAAGAAGCGGGTTTAATCATTTTAGTGCATTTGTTCCCCTTGCTACCCATATCCACACTAGTTTGAAAGGATCGGCATTTTTTCCTGTTCAACTTCATGCAATTTCAGTAAGTTTCTCTGTTTTGTGGATGTTTTCCGAAAAAAACCAAAACACCTGCAACAAAGACTTTGTTAAAAATTTTGAATTGATGAAATATCTTAATTCTTGTATTTTTCTACCTTCTATAAAATACTCTTTGCAGCATAATCATTGTTCTGCACACCATAGATATTTGTAATGTGCTGCCACTAACAGCAGACTACAATGGTTGCCTGGTTTTTCAGTGCTTACGTTAATTCATTATGTTCTCAATGTTAGGCTGTTTCCCCAAGGGGTAAAGTCTTAAGTGTTATTATCTCTAAGTCATTCTTATGTTTATATCTAAGATTGCTGGATAGATATTTTCACTGTTTTGCCTACATCATTCCATTTTCCTGCAGCAGTTTTCACGGGCAGTTCTCCTGCTGCATGCTTGGATTTGGTTGTGTCTTCCTGCAGCCTGTGCATGCTCGCACTGCTGTCCTACCATGCTCCCTCAGCCACTCCTCTATGTTGTAGGCTAGAGCTTGAATCCATAGAGAAGGATTTCTCTGAACTCAGCTGCCTCCTACAAGGAGAAGTTCAAGATAAGATAAATACAGCCTTGTATACAAAAACCCCTATCTGTTCTTTTGTGATTAGTTTGCATGTGTGCAGGTGCTCCTCTTGTATGAAACACTGGTTTACAGTAGGGCCAGTGCCTACATCTTTGAGCGGTTATTTCAAATACCTGTTGTCCAAAAATGCAAAAGGCCAAGTGGCTTCACCCACCTCTCAATGCCATCTCGTCGCCCAGGGGCCCCAGCATGGACCCCTTTGTCTTTTCATGTCTCTCTGTCAGCTTGTGAGAGAACAGGAGCTGTAAAACCCCGGCCGATTCCCAGCTGCTGTCAGATAGTGTACCTGTTGGCTCTCTTCCTCTCACTGCCGGCTGTACAAAAGGCCACGATGGCCAGAGGCAGGGCTCCAGGGGCTGAGATCTGTGCCTCCTGCTATTTTGGCAGTGTCATGTTTATAGACAGTCATGCCAGGTGTCTTCACTGCTTAGGGCAGAAACATGTGCATACATGTTGCTTGCTGTTCAAATCTCTTCCAAATTACACAATAAAACAGACAGAAAATTAAATGAGGTATCACTTTGTGAAAGTGCAGGGGGGAGCTGCTCCTGGCCTAGGCAGGCTCCCTGGTCGAACCCACATTCTGGTTAACAGTCTCACCCCAGCAATGCCCATTCTTCCTCCTTCTTGTCCTCCAGCATCAAAGGCTCAGCTTGAGCTTCCTGATGTAGGAGAACTCAGGCTAGAGAGACACCTTCCTTTGTTGTCCCCTTCCTCCTCCAGCCCCATACAGACAAGAACACATGGGGGAGAATAAGCATCTTCCTACCAAAGACAGTATTCTCCTTTTAAACGTGGGCAAAGGTGAACAGGCTTCCCTGGCTGTCTCCTTTAGAGTTCAGATAAATGTGGATCAGATGGCCTGCCAAGAACACACAGTGATGTAGAGCCCTGCATCAGTCAGAAGACTGATTTTAATTCAACACAGAGAAAAGCACCCCAGAAGTCATCAATACTTCAACATCTCTGCCAGTTAAGCATGGATTTTTCTTACCTGCTTGGCTACTTCCATTGGTGGGATCAACTTCCAGCTAAGATCCTCCCTTACTTAAAGCTAATTCTTCGTAAGAGGGACTGCTGGAAGTCCTGGATTGGCAGCCAGAGCTTCTGCCTCCTGCAGCTACTTTGAAATGAGTCTTCTGCTGCGAAAAGTCCAGCACTTTTCTACACAGTCAGGCAGACCTACTGCTCGCTCCGAGGTCAGTGCAAGTGTGAAGTTGGCACATTGATCCTTGATCCAGGAAGGTTGGCTGAGCCTTGCAGGGCTGCAGGTCCCAGCGTGCTGTCCTGGAGCAGTGCAGGCACTTTGCCACTTATGCCCTCAGCCCCTTCCAACAACTGTCCCAGCTGAGGTGTCTGAAGGAAGGAGGGTTAAATCTGCACCTCCACAAACTGAACTGCCAACTGAGAGGCTTGCGTGTAAGCCCATGGCACAAGGAAAGCAGGAGGAGGCTAAGTGGTGCTGCTGCTTTGGTTGCCTTAACCCAGGGGGTAGATGCCTTCATCTTCAGGAGCTCTGGTGACATTTGCACAATTTTGAGAGCCCCAGCTGAGAGGGGCAGATGTGGGGAGATGTGTAGTTCTGTTCTGCCACTCTGTAGTGGAGGTGCTGCCTGACTGTCACTTTGGCTGTTCTTACCCACAGTCAGTGGCTACGTTGACTGTCTCTTGCTGATGCTTCCTCCAACTCAGCTCCTCCAGCTATCCCTGACTGCTCCGACAGAGCAGGTTTCCTCTGTCAGTACTTTTTTTTAGTCACCTGATACAGGAAAGCAAAATGGTTACTTACGCTACAGTAATTGTGGCTCTTCCAGGCACATTCTCCGTAGAGGCACTACAAGTGACCTCTTGTCCTTCGCTTTGAAGGAGTCTTTACTGTTGGCAAACCTGAGAGGGGTTAGACTGAGCTTAGTTTGCTCCATTACCACCCTGAGTAGCAGCAGCTCCTGGCTTCCTTGGGCTGCGTGTGTTCATACTCCTTCTTCCCAAACCAGGATGCCAGTCTGTGTTTCGGCTTTCCCATCCTCACACCACACTCCCAGCCTAAGGCATCAACTCTTGCCCATGTATTTCTCTCCCGCGGCCCTGCTCCCTTTCATCAGCCGCAGCAAACTTTGCCAGCTCCTTCACATCAGCATCTAAAACCCTGAGATGGGAGCACAGGTTTGGGAGCAGCAGGGCTCCAGCAGCCACTGAAGAGGGAGGTTGCCACTTCCCAGGCAGCGCGTTGATGGCAGTGGTGCATGTAATGGCTCTTGCCCCACAGCATGAGTGAAGAGCAGCGCTGGGAGCTGCCATTGCCGCAGGCCGCGTTAGGTGGTGCAGTGATGTGCGTGGCACAGTTGGGGAGCACTTTGCCTTGCACCACTGCCAGGTGCAGTTGGGAGGGTTCACAGGCACAGGCTGGATGGACATTACTGTCTTCAGAGAACTTGATCCTGTCCATGTGAGTACATGCTCACCTGGGATCTGTGTGGACAGCACTTCTTAAAGAATCACAGTTTCCATAGGGTAAGTACCCACTTTTCATTTTGTTTCCTTAAAGATGTATTTAAAACCCAGGATGACTCTGTAATACTATTAAATCCTTAATAATTTCCACCATTATTATGACTCTAATGTTTCTAGGGCCCTTCCTCTGGTTTAAAACTGATTAATTTCAGGAACTGAAGCTAGATTCACTGTTCTGTATACAAGGTGCAATGACAGATACTGTGTTCTCAATACTGCGTTCTTATTATTGCTCTCTTATTTTGAAAGAAAATAACCATGAAACTGGTGTTTTCCTTTACTGTGCTTGGACACTCTTAAGAAAAGCATGAAATGCAAGTTAGGAGGAGGATTATTGGTTGTATTCGTGTAATGTCTTCATTATCCTTTTAGTTTAGATATCAAATAATGTTTTAAAACATTTTCAAATGCAGCTGTTTTTTCAGATTTTTGAAGGTGAACTGTGAATTTTGAAAAAAAAGCATGTTGCTCTTTTGTAATATTAAAACCAGGAATAAATTATTTAGCTGAACGTTTGGGGGCTTTTTTTTTTTCCTTTGACTCCTTAGATGGTAGTAATTCAGATATTGTCTAACCTGGGATTATATGGGTGTTTGGAGAGCTAGCAAAATTAGCGCCTCATGGATACTGGAAGATCTGATAAATTCTAAGAATTATAATCTGACAAATTATAGAAATCATATTTTGTTACTATTTCCCCAGTGGGTTTTGGGCATGTGCACGTGACAATGCTTTTGCAGTGTGATGCCTCTCTACTTCATGTGGAGAATAATTTGAGCTTCGTTATTCATTAAAAATCATTCCTAACTCATCTAGTTGAGAACAAAACTTAATAACGCTATAAGCAGTTATGAGAAGAATGTACATCTTTGTCCAGTGTTCTGCCTCAGAGATTTTCTAGCACCAAAAGCTTTTGAGAAAGGTGGTCTAAAAATCAGCATTATCATGGGCAACTTTCGCTTTTTGTGCATAAGAAAAAGTCTTTTATCCAATAGCTGATTTATTGTTGCAAAGCGTAGGAATTTTATTTTCTATTTTCGCTTAACCCTGTCAAATGTAGCAGATGTTTTTGTTATCATATAAACTTATCCCCTTCTGTGTGTATGTTGTTAAGCTCTTTGCTTAATAATGGCCTTGTAGCAGTTGAGGTCCCAGCTAATTGTCGGTATAGACTTGCCCTCATCTGGATCTGCTGCATTGTGATTTTGTTATATTCACAAGGTAATGAATAAGAGTATTTGACCTTCCTCCTTCATTCTCTTCAGCTTTTTAACTACATCTGGTGTTTATCTTACTTATTTACTTGTTCCAGTTGCTTCAGTTGCCCCGATACAGTAGTCTTTCCATGCCTCTAATGGCCCGTCTCAGAGGGCATCTGCTTTTGTGTAGAGCGACTTGAGCACCATAAGCATTTAAGATAAAATGTTGAATATTGTTGAGAGGGCATTACAATATTTTAGATATAATTTGGGGTTTTTTTTACAAACAGGAAGTAGTCTGTAAATACCAACAGTATTGTAAATAGTCTAAATACCAATCTGTAAATACCAATTACATTTATGTGCTGTCTTAAATATTGTCTACTTATTGTGAGCTACGTTAGTAGAAACACCTGGATAATGAAGCTCTTTCTTTCTGCTGCGATAGTGGAAGATGTTGAGATAGGCATCGCAGGGGAACTAATTTATAAGGGTCTTGCTGGGAAAGGGAGTGAGGAGTCATCAGCATTTTCTCCCTCAAACAAGGTGATTTGGGGACCTCCAAAAGAGGAGGTGAGGGTTGTGCCCCCTCTCTTGCTCATTAGTTGAAAACAAAGCTTTCACTTTTTCTTTGGGTACAGGAGCTGTTTCTACCTCCTGCCTGTATGTACAAAGCCCCAGATAAATGCTCCTCAGCTGCCAGAGGGCTTCAGTCGATTGCTCTGAAGCACTTTTGCCTTTAATAGGTGTTCAAGGACACCGGGTTGCTCATGTTCATACTTACCAGCAGAGGAGGCTGGGGCCGTGCAAAGCTGAACTCGGTACCAAAAGGAAGAATACTGGAGTGAATGGGAAGGGAGAAGGAAAAATGGTGTGTGTGTGGGAAAATGTTACATTATGCCAGGGCTCCTGCCAAATACCTTCAGCCTGCTATGCCACGTGGGGTATGTGCACTGTACAGGGCTTCCCCCTTACATATCTGAAAGATTTGGAGGCGAGAAACCTCCCCATTACAATGAGATGCTGAACATGTTTTCTGCTTATACCTGTGTCATCCAGGAGGCCTTCTAGCATGAAAAGGAAGATATGCTGCAAACTTACAAAAGGATGGTGGCAGGGAAAAGGAAGATATAAGGGAAATTCCAGAAAGGCCCTCTGGATTTGCTCAGGCACACCTAGACTTGCCCTCTATTGGGATTTATCTGTAGCATGTACATCATTAAGAGGCTTTATTATTTTTTTAAAATTAATTTTATTTTCCTTTGCAGGTCACCTTTTAAGCTGCTATTTCCTGTATAATTAAGCAGAATGAAGGCATTAGGTTCTAGTAAATTTGGGCCTAATCCAGAAATCTTCTCTTATTCAGTCCTTTCTGAGTAAGAAACTCAAGTCTGGGCTCAGCATTTTACATTTTTCACTGTTATTTCTAAATTATTTGTGGTCTGTGGATTTTTAGATTTTTTTTTTGGTCACCTTTTTGTCTAATTTTATCTCTTTATGTGTTACTGTCCAGCATAGCGTTAGTTGAAATGATGTAAGTATACTGCAAATTGAAGTGCATAATTGCTACTGATAATGCAAGAATGATTGATTCCTACGGTTTATAATTAACAGTACATAATGTTCTGTGCATGGGTTGGATCTATCCCTTTTAACTTTTCCTTTCCGATTCTTTCCAACCCCCGGTCTTGCCACTTCCCAGCCTTTCTGAATATACTGGTTTCGCTGGAGTCTAGTCCATTCTTCCTTTTGTTTTTCAGACCAGTAAAAATGGGAAGTACTGGATTCTGGTTTCCTCCAAGAAGAGTCAGCGGAACTGGTTAAGACCAAAATCTGAGGACTTTAGTGGGCAAACATCAGGTGTGCATTGAACAGAGGCTGCTTTAATCCTGCTTTAAGTATACACTTCTTTAAAAATAATATTATATATGAGCTTTTGTATAATGTGTTTGCTATATTTAATACTGCATATAATCATTCATCCTGCAGTTGTGAAAGCACCAATAAGAATGAGGATTTTAAGTGATAATATGTTGAGACACAAGCAGGCAATATTACTCATAAAATTCTTTCAGCTGGTCTTTGGAAAGTGTAATATTTGAGGATCAGTGGTTTTTTAAGTTTTATCTCCATTGCTCAGTCTATATATCCACAAGAAAAAAAGGAAGTGGTTATTTACTATTCAGAGGTCAATACTGAAGTTCTTAATTGCCTCATCTGTTGAGAAATGGTACTGAGATAATAGTGCATACATGTTTTTTTAATAAAACGCTGTCATTGTCAAAGATTGGATCCACACATATTTGTTCTAATGATGCCTTTTTAAGGACACTTAAACACAGTTCAAAGTCAGCTTAATTAGTTTTGATAATAGAGGAACAAAACCTGAATTCTTCACATGTGAGAATGTTCTGAGTTACATCTGGTACAGCAACTACTAGATTACCTGAAGTTTTGGAGAAGATAACAGTAATGTTATATTGGCCTGAATATAGGATGGCCTCCATCCTGAGGTGCTATCCTTGCATTGAGAACAGGAGTGAGAAGTTGTCAGAGTTGTTAATTCAGCAGTTAAGCCTCATATGCTGTTCCACAACAAACGCTGCTTTTGGCCTCACATCAGACTCTGCATATCACCCTTCTGCATGGCCTAAGATCCTGCATCCACCCAGCTTGATGCATGTTCAGTTCCTCCCCTCCTGCCTCCAGCACTACTAGCTCACTCCTCTCCTCTTGTCCTTATAGGTTCCCAACCCCCATGCAGTGCTCCCTGCACCTCCCTGGCCCCACAGCCCCATCCTAGTTCTGTCCCTTGTCCCTCCCTGCAGCAGCTCACCCACCCTCCCTTCCCACATCCCACCAGCTGTGCCTGCTTCCCTTGTCACTGGCTGGGCCAGGAGCCACTTGCTGCTGAGCTCTGGACCCAGCATGGTCAAATTAACCACGCTCCCCTGCGGCAGACTGCAGAGGTAGTTTCTTTGCCCTTTGCTGCTAATGGTGCCTGCCCCTCTCAGGCAAGGTGTGGATTTGGCAGGGAGGCGAGAGGGGCAGTAGCTCCTTCTTACCCCATGAGACTGTAGGTACTTGAGCCACGCAGCGAGGGCCACAGCAGCTGGGCTGTTGGCTCTGTGTGGCAGGTCTCATGTGGGTGCCTGTGTGGTATAGATACACCCTGTGTAAGCATAGAACGGGTTGGATTTTTTTTCTCCCCCAGAACTTCATTTGTGAGGAGAGATTAGGCTAAAACAAGATATCATTCCATATTCAGGCCAGTATGCATAGAAGACCAGTGTGTTCATTTACAAGAAAGCACAACTGATTTTATTACCAGATTCTAATTAAAGCATATATTGAAAAATTTCTCAATCCACAAATTTATCACAACTTTGATGTGAATCAGACCCTCCTTTTGATTACATTGGTGGCTCCATTGAAGTCTTTGGAACTGGCCTTCAATTACTTTTATGGCAGAAACACTGGTCTCAAGTCTCCAAACATCTGTTTCATTTTTTCACTTATGAGCTAGAAAGCTCCTTATGAGACAGAAAATAAAATTAAGCTGATTCTTTGAAGACCCGTCTATGTTCCCACTCATGGAATTGATGTCTCCAGGCTTCTTCCCATGAGTGGGAATAAGTCAGAGACCAATCTGAAATGATAACAGTCCTTAAAGAAACACCTTTTCTGTCACTGGGTATCTTTGAAGAGGTTAGTGGTTCCATATAAAATTGGGGGGGGTAAAGGTGGTCTTACAAAACTTCTTGCTTAAAGAAAGTAACATAGTTTAATTTGCCATTCAAGGACTGTAGGGTACAAAGGCAGCAGATTCCCATCTTGGTGTGCCAGTGTACTCTCCTCTTGTAAAGACGAGGAAAAAGTTTTGGGGAGGAGGGAAGAAGAGGCATAGGCAGAGACATACCGTGTGTACACGTTTCAAATGGAAATCTCAGTCTGAAGCTTTCTTGAAATGCAGAGATTGAAGAGGTGCATCCCCTTCTCCCATGCCTTGCCTCACCACACTCCTGTCCTGCCATGCACTGAGAAAAACACGGGCTCTCCTTCCTCTTCACTTTCTTCCAGGGCCACGCTGGGGGTCTTGCAAGGACCGTTTAGTTTTGCTCCCATCGCACCTGGGCACTGCTCTCCGCTCCCCTCTGGAGCGGTTGGCTCCCTCTGTCTCTGCTGAGCCTCACAGGGGAGAGAGGACAGCTGAGACCAGGGCCAGGCTGCCTCCAAGCTACCCAGCCTCCCCTGGCTGCCAGCGGGGAAGTCTGTTTTGTTTATTGGGGAGGTGGCATTAGGTTGGAGCAGCTGGGGGCTGGTGCTCCCTGCCTGGCTCCCGGC